GAAGCACTTCGCTGAACTTCAGCAGAACTTCCCTGAACTTCGGCAGCCTTCCCTGAACTACGACAGGACTTTCCCGAAGTTCGGCAGGACTTTCTCGATGTTCGGCAGGCCTTCCATGAACATTGGTAGGACTTCCCTGAAGTTCGTCAAAACATTCCTGTACTTCGGCAGAATTTCCCTAACTTCGGCAGAACTTCTCTGAACTTCGTCAGAACTTCCCTGAACTTCAGCAGGACTACCCTTATTTCCAAGAATTGAAATGGCAGGACGTCCCTGAACTTCGGCAGGCCTTCCTTGAACTTCGGCAGGACTTCCCTGAAATTCGACAAGACTTCACAGATTTCCAAGAATTGAAATGACAGGACTTCCCTGAATTTCAACAGGCCTTCCCTGTACTTCGGCAGGCCTTTCCTGAACTTTGGTAGGATTTTCCGAACCTAAGCAAGCCTTCCCTGAACATTGGCTAGACTTGCCTGAAGTTCGGTTAAACTTAACCCCTGAACTTCGGCAGAACTTCCCTGACCTTCAGCAGAACTTTTGTGAACTTCAGCAGAACTTCCCTGAACTTCGGCAGGACTCCGCTGATTTTCAAGAATTGAAATAGCAGAACTTTCCTGAACATCGGCAGAACTTCTCTGAACTTCGACAGAACTTCTCTAAACATCGGCAGAACTTCGCTGAACTTCAGCAAGACTTCCCTGAACTTCGAAAGCCTTCCCTGAACTGTGACAGGATTTTCTCGAAGTTCGGCAGGACTTTCTAGAAGTTAGGCAGGCCTTCCCTGAACATTAACTGGACTTCCCTGAAGTTCGTCAAAACTTCCCTGTACTTCGGCAGAATTTCCCTAACTTCGGCAGGACTTCCCTGAGGTTCAGCAGGCCTTCCCTGATCTTCAGCAGCAGTTCTCTGAACTTCATCAGGACTTCCCTGATTTCCAAGAATTGAAATGGCAGGACTTCCCTGCTCGGAGACGAACTAGCGTTCGGCTGAAGGTCTTATTAATAAAGATAACTAACTAATTGACTAGCCAGGACTTCCCTGAACATTGGGAAGACTTCCCTGAAGTTCGGTTAAACTTCCCTAAACTTCGGCAGAATTTCCCTGACCTTCAACAGAACTTTTCTGAACCTCAACAGAACTTCCCTGAGCTTCGGTAGGACTTCGCTGATTTTCAAGAATTGAAATGGCAGGACTTTCCTGAACTTCGGTAGAACTTCTCTGAACTTCGGAAAAACTTCGCTGTACTTCGGCAGAACTTCTCTGAACATTGGCAGGACTTCGCTGAACTTCAGCAGGACTTCCCTGAACTTCGGAAGCCTTCCCTGAACTACGGCAGGACTTTCCCGAAGTTCGTCAGGACTTTCTAGAAGTTAGGCAGGACTTCCCTGAACATTATTTGGACTTCCCTGAAGTTCGTCAAAACTTCCCTGTACTTCGGCAGAATTTCCCTAACTTCGGCAGGCCTTCCCTGATTTCCAAGAATTGAAATGGCAGGACTTCCCTGCTCGGAGACGAACCAGCGTTCGGCTGAAAGTCCTCTGGTTTGTTTTTTCCTTCGATCTTGTTTTCCGTGCTGAGCACCAATGCTACCGACGTGCCAGGAAGGCAGCTCCCACACCTGGACCCTACCTTTCGACCCATCAACTCATGAACCGGGGACCAACGGCTTTACTTCCCATCCGAAGGAAGGCGTGATCAGAGATGTTATGCCTCAGAACATCCCGGCGGCGGCGGCTGAAAGTCTTCTTAATAAAGATAACTAACTAACTAACTAGCCAGGATTTCCCTGGACATTGGCAAGACTTCCCTGAACTTCGGCAGAGCTTCCCTGACCTTCAGCAGAACTTTTCTGAACCTCAGCAGAACTTCCCTGAACTTCAGCAGGACTTCGATGATTTCCGAGAATTGAAATGGCAGGACTTTCCTGAACTTCGACAGAACTTCTTTGAATTTTGGCAAAACTTCGCTGAACATTGGCAATACTTCCCTGAACTTCGGCAGAGCATCCCTGACCTTCAGCAGAACTTTTCTGAACTTCAGCAGAACTTCTCTGAACTTCAGCAGGACTTCGCTGATTCTCAAGAATTGAAATGGCAGGACTTTCCTGAACTTCGACAGAACTTCTTTGAACTTTGGCAAAACTTCGCTGAACTTCGGCAGAACTTCTCTGAACATCGGCAAAACTTCGTTGAACTTCAGCAGGACTTCCCTGAACTTCGGAAGCCTTCCCTGAGCTACTACAGGACTTTCCCAGGAAGTTAGGCAGGACTTTCTCGAAGTTAGGCAGACCTTCCCTGAACATTGGCAGGACTTCCCTGAAGTTCGTCAAAACTTCCCTGTACTTCGGTAGAATTTCCCTAACTTTGGCGGAACTTCTCTGAACTTCAGCAGGACTTCTCTGAACTTCGGCAGGACTTCTCTGAACTTCAGCAAGACAACCCTAATTCCCAAGAAACGGCATTCGACTAAACGGCATTCGGACAAATGGCCGGACACCACTTGAAGCAACGTCATCAACGCCAGGGGCGTTGTTCTTTTAGGCAGATTTATATTTTAAGGGCTCAGGTCAATGTTGGGTGCGACTGCTTAGCTCAAATTTTAGGAACACAGCACTGCCGATTTCTTTAATCTGTTGATCCCGATAAGCTGGAAAACAATCTGGGAACGCTGGTTGACAACTCGCTCCCACACAAAGTCTCACCGAGGGGCACTAGGATAGTGATTTTTGCTAATGTAATCGCACTTATTTAAAATAGTTCCAGTGCACCAAAATTGAAGAAATTTTGGATTTCGGTTCCATTTGAAATGCAGATTCAATTGGAACACAGATTACAGAAGTATCGCATTTATCACCTCTGTTATCAACATAGCAGTGATTTCAAAACAGAGAAGGTTACCCGTTAAACATGCATCATTCAATTTCCCAAAGAATTCGCTAAAACTTCCACTCCAAAACAACATCAGCAAACCAAGCACTGTACCGACGGGGAAATCGCTCCCCCATTTTCAACTCGCATAAATTTTTTTTTTTTTTTTTTTTTTTATTATAAAAGTACGTTTATTTGTCGTTTGTATGTTTAGTAAAAATTATTCACATAATTAATAAACCTCGACTTCAAAATTAAATTTTAATGCGTCAATATCTATCCTGCCATTACTGTTATCAATGAAGGTGATATAAACAAATAACAATTTCAATATCCGTGTTCTGTTATACGCTGCAATCCCCTCCAGTGAGGGCCGAAGGAGATCATCGAAACGAAGAGAGCGTCGACTGCCAGTCACAACCAACAGCCTTTGTTTAAGTACATCGTAAGCAGCCCGTACTCTAGGGCAGCCAAAAAATTTGTGTTGAATGGTTTCAACGGTTTGCACAGCACAGTGTATGCATTGTTCACCATCCGCACGCCTTATCGTAAACAGCAGCCGTCGGTGAGAGATTTTTTGGTTTACCCACAAGTATAGATAGCTGCGCTGCGTAGGTAGCAGACCACGGGCAGCGATATTTTTCCACACTCGGGGCCAGTTGATCTCGGGGTTTGTTGTTTCCACTTTCGGTTTGTCGGTGCGTTCTACGAAGAAGCGATGGATGAGATCGGCGGAAGGGTGTTGGCGTATTTGGAAAGGGAAGTTTGAATAATTGTTTAGGATTAGCTTTAGGCAGGGAAGATCTGTAAGGGAATTTGGTTGTGGTGGATTTACTTGGATGAGAAGGGAATTGTAATAAGGAAGGGAAACGATCTCGTGTAAATGCCGATTGATGAGCAGCGCCTTGCATTTCATTGCTGGAAGATGTAGGTTGAGGCCACCATCCTCCCGTCTGCGTGCCAGCTGCTGCATGGGTACGGATGCACATATTCCACGGAAAAGATATTTCCGCATGTTGGTTGTCAGTTTCGCCACGTGTGCTGCCGTCGGGTGTAAATTTGCCGCCATATACCACATTTTCGACGACAGGAAGGTGTTCAAGAGTGTCACTTTCTGGTGTAACGACAAACTGCGCAGCGAGTGTAGCCATATTTGCCGAGCAAAGTTTGTCACGAGTGCGTCCCAGTTCAGCTTAACCATTAATCGAACTGGATTAGCGAAAACTACACCAAGAATTTTGATTGTGGTTTCAGTTCGAAGCCAGGGCACAGTCACAGGGTTATTGATTTGGCCGACGTCAATTGCCGTTGTTTTGGTTTCATTCAGGCGTGCTCCGGCTATTCGTTCAAAGCGCCTGAACAAATCTCGCATTGCATCCAACTGCTGGGCACCGGTTACGATAGCACTGATATCATCTGCGTATGCGACGATCAGATCTGTCCCACAAACTTGCTCCAAGCGCCGCAAGAGAGGGTGCAAATAAATCACAAATAAGTGCATCGAAAGAGGATCCCCTTGGCGCACCGATCGCTGTATCGGGAAGGAAGCAGAGAGGTGTCCATTGATCAGTAGGCGAGACGAGGAAGCCACTGTTATTTGGGAAAGTAAGTCCACAAATGCCGTGTTGAAGCCCAGACCTCGCATTGTTTTGAACAAAAAACTTTGGTCGACACGGTCAAACGCATGGTCGAGATCGAAAGAGATATAAATCGTATGCCAGCTGGAGGGGTTGCTAGTGTTGCTGGTTGCCATCGCATCGCCGGCCGTCGCGCATTCGCCGAAAATTGAATGTCTCCCGGTCATGGTTCAATGAAACTCCACAACGCGCGGCGGCACCATTATTCCTTTCTGTCTGTACGACCGAGCGAGCGAGCGAGGCAGTCAACGATCCGCGTAATTGCACCACCTCCCACCACCCGGTCGCCGCGACGCGGACGGGACTCTTTTGGGAATAATGTCGTATTAAATTGCAGTGGATTGGGACGACGGAACGGAAGAAGATGGCCGAGAAAAATGAAGATTAATGGCGTTCGATCCCCGCCAAGTGTGCCATCGTCGTGTTTGCTGTGTCTGTGACTGTGCTGTTTTGCGATAATGAGGGTAATTATTTTCCATTTTCTCTTCTTTTACAGGTGTGGTTCAAGAACCGGCGGGCAAAATGGCGCAAACGGGAGCGGAACCAGATGAACGCGATAGCGGCGGCTGACTTCAAGAATGGCTTCGGGCCGCAGTTCGTGCAACCATTCGCCGATACGGACAGTCTGTATTCCTCGTACTCGTACAACAACTGGGCCAAGGTGCCGTCCCCGTTGGGTGCGAAATCCTTCCCCTGGACGGTGAATCCGCTGGGGACGTCGATAGTGCCGACGAATCATCATCAAAATTCCATAAATTGCTTTAACACGTCGGCGTCTTCGGTGGCAGCCGGGATGGGAACCGGAACGATGCTGACGGGCAGCATGGGAACCAGCTTGGGCGGTACGAGCGGAGGCACCGGGGTATCTCCAACGCCTTGTCCGTACACGACGCCCACCAATCCGTACAGTATGTACCATCACCGGGCCACGGCGGAGCCCTGCACGGCGATGACTTCCAGTATTGCAACGTTGAGATTAAAGGCGAAGCAGCACACTTCCGGTTTCTCCAGTCCCTACTCGGCCCCGTCGCCCGTATCAAGATCTAACTCGGCCGGTCTGTCCGCATGTCAGTATGCCGGAGTGACGGACACCGTCTGAGAAAACGCCCTGGGCAGCATGCTGTCCCACCACTCGTCATCCCTGGCCGTGTACAACTCCAGCATTAGCAGTGCCATCAATGCCATCAACAACGGAGGCTGCACGGACAAGGACAACAACCCCACGGCAACGGGCGGCGGGTTGGTTGACGACGACGATCTGATGGTACCGGACGAGGACGATGACGATCACCGGCGGAACAATGTGGACGATATTCACGATTGAACACGGCGCGATACCTTCCCAGTGCCTATGCCTGTGTATCTCTAATCTTTGAGGTTTGAGTGCAACTTATCTTATCCCCCATTCTAGAGTTCCGAAATCGGCGAATGATAAAATTTTTTTTGGCAGCCAGCGACGGCGGCCCTGTTCAAAGCGCAAATTTGCATCATCGCTGCTGTTTATTTTTTTCCCTGAGTGAGTGAGTGAGTGGTGTGCGTACCCGTTAGGAACGTTTATAAATCAGCCCCGAGAATGTCTCGTTTCAACGGGTGCCCGCGGAATCATCAAAGACCTGTCGTTATCTGTGAACACCGAAAGGGATTAAGTCCGGCTTACGGTGCGCTCGGTTCCGAAAACGACGACGACGACGACGACGACGACGCCTCTATCGATTCGAATTCGGCAGCTGCCGTGATGCGACGAATTTTGCGGGGGGAAGTGGGGGCAGTTGGGGAGCTGATTGAGAAATTGAATGTAGAGGCACCTAGATGGTGCCTTCCGTAAATAGAGCGGACGAACTTGTGACAGAATTGCGACTAGCGGGGCAATCAGGGCTTGGGGGGATCGGTTGCGATTTCGATTGGTTTCGGATGTAATCGTACTAAATGTGGGGGGACTTTGCATCCGATGCTGATAACAATCGGTGCAGAAATGTGCCTAATTTCCTGCTTTAGTCTTAGCCGAGGACCAGGGCATCATTAGCAGTTGTGGAAGTGGAGCTAGCGGACAATGTGGAATTATACATTACACGCTAACTTGGAAGTACCCATTTTGAAGAAAAGTGGCTTACTTAATTAATCTGAAAAATTTACATTAGTGATATTTCATGAGTAACAGTTACTCATTAAATGGGTTAAATGCTTACCCATTTATAAGTCAAGCCACTTTTCTTCAAAATTAGTTAAATTTTACTCAACGGGTTCTTTCAAATTAGCGAGTATTTCGAGCAGTGACAGCCTGAATGTAAGAATGCAGGCGGATGCGAAGGGCAGTATTTGGCCTTCGCATCATATATTCAACATGGCGTCCAATGTTTTTGTTTAGATTATTTCAATCATCATAGAATTGATTAGGCTTCCAATTATTCCGCTTATTGTTCCTCAGTACTCATGGCATTGAAAAGACATTGAAAACCGATTGAAACACTGATTTTTGTATCGAAATTACTAAACTATCGATTTCACTTATCTCAATGAGCTCTTTGCTCAGTTTTCAAAATGCAATTTTGCCTTTTGTAAACAATGGCTTTCCTCTAGCAGCTGGCATCGCTAAAAAATTAATAACGATCTGGGATTGCATCGTTCTTGGATTTATCAGGACTACAATTTGGTGTATAAAAGTAGTTCAAGTTTTTGCCGCAAAAATGGCACAGTGATACAAACGCTAGATTTCGCTAGATAGAGGTTTGCTGTCCTAGGCAAAGTTGTAGATCGTTAATTTTTATGAAAAGTTGCCCAAGGCAAAACAAGCTGTACATTTTCAAGGAACTGAGATATACTAAGTTTTATAAAATTCGGCTGAAATTCACGTAGTATTATATGTTGAACATAAAGTGGTTTCGGAATGGATTCTACCAGGAAAACTCGAATCGCCTCAAAAGATCCTCCAGGTACAGTCACTGATTAATCCTCATCAGTCCAGATTCCACGTTGTGGTTAATTTTCATCCCAAGGAATGATTTAGTTTCACCTGTATAGGTCATTTCAAACTTCCGATTGAGGCACCGCTTGACAGCTTCAACCGCTTTCAACGAATCACCCGCGAGCATAACGTCGTCCACATACAATACCAAGATCACCCTGTCTGTTCCAATCTTTAGGGTGTACAAGCACTGATCATTGGCACTCCGCTTGAAACCAGGCTTAATTGAGCCTCACTCGCGAGTTTGAAACGAGCCGAGCGTAGGATTTCTCTGAGGAGTAGAATGCCTACTGCCAAACCATTCCACTGAGCTTTAGAGCTTGTGAGCCAATGGGGATAAAATTAGAGTGAGGTTTGCTGCCATTCATTTTCATGTTTTCTATCACACGCTCTTACTCTCACTCTGGGTGAACTCTGAGCTTCTTGCGTCGAACGAAAAAGTCATCCGGAGTCTCGAAAAGCGCACCTCACGTCAAATCATCTACTCGCTGAAGTTCACTCTCCCTCTCTCTCTCGAGGTGAGGGTTGGCTAAACTCGCAGGACAAGAGTGTTTTAAAACCTCCAGTGAGTTTGAGGATTTTCAGCAAGCCTGCTTGAAACCCAAACGATCTTCAACAAAACGATCGTTCCACGCACGTGAGGTTTGCTCTCAGCCCGTATAGCGACTGCTCCAAATGTCACACTAAACCCTTCCCTTTCACAAAGCCTTGCGGTTGAACCATGCAAATTTCTTCAGTTAGCCTTCCGTTCAGGAAAGCCGTCTTCACGTACATCTGGTGAACCAAGCAGGTGACAAGCCAGTGCGCAAAGTGTCTATTTAAAGGTGTATTTCTGCGAGCCTTGTAGTGATCAGGTCGCCATTCAAACCACGTTTCACCTTGAACACCCATTTACTGGTGATGGGCTTACGGTTAGCAAGTAATTTCTTCGTTGATTGCCACCTGCCACTTTACCCAGTCGCTTCGCTTCTGCTCATCAGCAATCGAGTTTGGCTGCGTTCTCCATCTCGTAATCGGCATGCCACCCGGGGATCTTCCACTCGCGGTGGGGTCGTTCATTTTCATCCGACACTGCCGCTTCATCCGGCTGATCTTGGTCGGTAAAGCTGTCATACTCTTCATCCGTATCCGATTTGGTGGATTCTTCAACTACTTCTGTTTCAGCTTCACTGCAGACTGACTACTCATCAGCCACGTCGCGCAAGAACGTATCGTCAATAAACCTCTTTTTAGTCTCCGACTGGAAATGCTCCATACAGTCAACATCCCGAGCGTGCACTGTCCTCTTGGATTTAGGATCCCATACTCGATAACCGGTGCAGGCATAGCCAACAAATATGCCTTTCCACGCTTTAGCATCTAGCACTAGAGCCGAACGCTCGCAGCTTAGACACATCGGCTTTCCTTCCATCCCACAACTGGTACGGGGTCGCATCCAAATCGATCGCATTTGATGGGCTCCGATTCAGTAAATCCTGTCGTCAAAATCGCTTATCCAATCCAGAGTCCTCGAGCATCGTTTGAACCTTTTCAAGCAGAGTACGGTTCATCCTCTCACTGACTCTGTTTTGTTCTGGAGTGTGAGGAACTGTCCACTTCACTCGGATACCCTTCCAGCTACCATACTTGCCGCCGTTGTCGCAGCAACGACGCGATATTTGCTGGCCGAACTTAGCTATCGCCTGCGCTTCATAGTTCTTGAAACACTCAAGCACTTCGTCCTTGCTTTCGATCCGGTACACCAGTCATCGACGAACGTCACAAAGTTATTTGCGTTATCAAGGCCAATCGGTGTTACGGACCCGCAAACATCTGAATGTATCAACTCAGGCACACGCGTTTGCATACAACACACGGTTCGCAAACGGTAACACTTTCGGCCCCTTACTAGCGCCCCGCCGATGAGCTTTTGAATACTCTTTGGCCGAATCGACGGTGCCAAAGTTCGGAACAGTGTTGGGAAAATATCAAAAAATCAAATCTCACCAACCAAGATCACGCTTGATTTTCGTAGACAAAAATCAACAAGCAAACAACTGCGGTTGATTTTGCAAGCTGTGATATCGCAGCTCGGAATATCAAGCTAACAAAACTCACCAACTGGAAATCTCACCAAACTGTGGTGAGATGGAGTTAAATGATTTTTGCTTTACACCCGAATGCAACCGAAACTTCCATAACGGCTTGCAGCAGTCCCTTCGCGTCTGCCATCGGTGAAGATTAAAAAGAGATAGCAAACTATGCTTTCTCTTTCTAAGAAAACGATGTGCAATGGAATCATTTTTGTGTCGAATCAACTCTCAGCTTGCTATTTGCACGTTGTGAATAGTCTCGCAATATCAAAGGAGCTTGTAAAATCAATATCAAGCATAATATTTTGATCCAATATCACTCGTGATATTGCGAGCCCATGAGAGCGGAAAAATATCAATTGATATTTTGCCAACACTGGTTCGGAATACGGCCACGTGAGAACATCACATTCGCGCTGCGCTGTTCTCTAACCAGATCGAGTCGGTACAGCTTTCCGAATCGAGAACCACTCTCGACAATCTCCGATTCGCGATAAATTTTCACTTTGCCGTCTTCGTAAACCACCTTCATTCCAGCCTCATCGACTTGCATTACCGAAAACAAGTTGCACCGCAAATCCGGTACGTACAACACATTCTTCACGGTACTCGCCGTTCTTGGCGAGGGCTATTTCCACTGGATACTTCAACGATTTCAATTCTTCGAGTTATGATCTGTCATTGACCAGGTGATCGGAGCAACCAGCCTTGCCTCAAATTTGCCCGATAAGCCACACACCACCACTTTCAGCAACGTTTGCTTTCGATCGAATCCTTTTTTTTCTTTACAGGCCACTCGGAAAGCTTATGTCCTTCCTGCTTACAGCCAAAGCACTTAAAATTCTTCTTCGATTGCTTCGACCCTGAGAATGCAGCTTGTTCACTTTTCGGGGTGCATGATTCCACACCTATTCCCCCCGTTGCTTTATTTCTCCGTCAAACAAGCGGGGATTTACGTGGAGCAGAAGGGATCTATAATAAGGAAGGGAATCGATCTCACGAAGGTGCCGGTTAATGGCCAACGACTTACATTTTAGTGCTGGTATATGCAACTTCAGTCCTCCGTCTTCCCTGCCACCATTCCTCTCCACAGGAAGGTACCCATCGTTGATGTAATTTTCGCCGTGTGCTTGGCAAGGGGCGCCAGTATCGACGACAGGTACCATATCCTGGAGGTGCCGAACGTGTTCAGCATGATGACTCTTTGGTGCAACGTTAGTGTCCGTAGAGAGTGCAACCACATTTGCTGCGCGAACTTCCCTACCTGTGCATCCCAGTTCAACGTCGTCATCAGGCGGATTGAGTTTGCGAAGACAACACCCAGAATTTTGACTACATTCGCTGTTTGCAGCCACGGGGTGATGATCGCCCTGCCTTCGCAAAACCCAACGTCAATGGCAATAGTCTTCCGCAAGTTCAATTTGGCGCCGGCGGCTAGCTCGAAGCGAGTGAACATTCATCGCCTCGATTTTCCCGACCGATGTGACGATGACGCTGATATCATCCGCGTAGGCCACTAGCAAATCATTTCCGCACGCTTGCTCGAGTCTGACCACCAGTGAGTGGAGGTACAGCACGAAGAGGTGCATGGACAACGGGTCCCCTTGCCGTACGGAGCGTTGGATTTCGAACGGGCGAGAGAGATGCCCATTGATGAGCAGCCGTGAGGTTGAGCGATTGGCAATCTGCGCCAGCAGAGCGATGAGATTCTCGTTGAATCCGAGGGAGCGCATGGTCGAGAAGAGAAATGAGTGCCGGACCCGATCGAACGCATGATCGAGACCGGAGGGCTTACCTATGTGTCCGTATGCGGTCGTGGTCCGAGGGCAAAAAGGTCGAGAGACAATTGCTGCGTGTTCTCGTTGTCACCCGTCGCGTCTGCTGAGGAGTGCGCAGGGTTATGTGCGCGTTGGATAGTGGGCGGCTCGCATCTCTATGCGGAGGGCATTTGATACCGCACATTCCCCTCTTATATTAAAAAAGAAACATCACTCTGTTTGATTTTATGTAAATTAATGATATTCATAAAACTATCCATCTTTGCGTTCAGCGATTCACCCAACTTTGGGTACACTCAGTTTACCGTGCAGTTCACTCGTATCTTGGGTTTGTTCAATC